GGTAACTAGCGGTATTTACCGGTAACTCGCGGTATTTACCGGTAGCTTGCGGTAGACTGCGTACAGCGTACCGGAAAATAATGCGGTATCGCCCGGGCATTTTGAATGGCTGCATCTGTACACAGAAGGACATGATGGAAGACATAATACTCCACATTTAGTATTTTTTTTAGAATTGTATGTTAGCATGCCCAAATGGGTTGTATTGTAATATCACATACTGTCACACAGCCTCGTTAAGTGCCTTGGGGCAACCTTGCTGTGAATTTATATAAAAATAAATTGAACTGAATTGATTTTCCCTGGGCACACACAACATATGACTCACAATGTCACAGCTATACAAATTTAGTTCGTAGTGTTCCTGCTTACCTGCAGTTTTGTTTTCTTTTTGATCCTGTTGCTTTGCAGTTGATTTCTTTGATTTAGCATGTTGTGGGTTGTGGTTATAGTCTTGGGGAGTAATTACAATCCAGAGCATGTAATTGCTAGACAGGCAACATTTATTTACACCCTGAGTCTTAAGGAGAGTTCTATTAAAACTCATAAACAACCAAAAACCATCATCTAGTTAACAGAGAACATAATCTAAAACATAACCCCTTACATTATCGTGCACCAGCCAATAACCCAATAATATATCCACCATCAGGATCCATAACCATTATAACCACACATAACTGTATAACCAGAACCATTCACTACAACCAAATCCATGCACAGTGAGAAACCAACATCACCAGTTTTTTTCTGTATATTACATAACTCTCTCTGGGATTATTGATCCTTACCATGAAAACATTCAGAAATCAGCTCCATGACTCCTTTTCTACAGGTGAATGATTTAAGTGGTGCTCCCAGTCACCACTTAATACAACCAAAAGGACTTACCCACTGTGGATCCCACAAAACCTTGCTTGAGAAACCCTGACTTTACAGAGAGAAGTATTTTCCTGTCCTTAATAAGCATAAGGCACAGGTTCACTTAAGAATCCGCACCCTTTTTAGAGTTTTTAACCAATAAATGATCTGTAGACAGATACGTTTTTAACTTTATTCCCTTTTGGAAATAGGAATATAGTTAAATGCATATCTGTCTACTTTAGTCTACTACTAGATGTCTACTATATTCCCTTTAGGAATTCTCTCTCAGTCCTAACCTAACCTGTAATACCACAGCCTTTAACCACAAGTAATTGACTTTAGTCATCACTAGTAGTAATAGAGTACTACTAAATTGCCGATCCTGTTTGGCTAGGGATGCTAACCATAACAGATGTCTACACCCAGTGTCCTAAGTTGCTGAGGGGTTACCCGTTTCCAAACCTAGAGGCAGCCAACATGGCTTCCACCCAAGAGCTTCTCCTCCATACTAACCATGGGGTAAGTACAGAAATTGTCACCTTTAGAGGTGACGTAAGAGACAAGATGTAAAAAGGGTTAACTTAAGTCAGTTCTGCCTGAAAATTAGACTTCTAAGCAACAGGGGTTTATGGCAGGAAAGGGGGTTAACTGATAAGGATTCCAGATGCAAGCTAGGAACCCCCTGGGGGCGTAATCTTAAACTGACCATTTGGTCAGGGTCTCTTAACTGGCCAAATACCATGACCCCCCCCTTACCATAACACCGATTGTCGTCCGAAGCAACAAGGAAGGACTATATAACCTAAAAGTTTGTACCGGCACATCGAACAATACTTCGGTTTTGTTGTTTCTTGCGGGAAACAAGACTTCGGCTTTATTGTTCCATGCATGCAATAAACTCATCTGTTTTACTTCATCTCGGGATCCAGAACCTTATTCTTTCTGTTACAACAGAGGTTACCAATGGAGAGAGATAACCATTCCTCCTCCCATCTTCCCTTTCATATCAGAGCCCACCTGCTCTTTAGAGAATACTTCATTCAAATCTTGTCTTTATGAATTATCTGGACAAGGATCTCTTGTCTTATGTCTGTCTCTCTTCTCTCTCTTGTCAGTCAGTTGTCCAGTCAGTTGTCTCAAAGGTTATTGACAGCTGCCACCTGGTATTGTGATTTGTACGACTGTTAATGGTATTGACTTGTAAAGAATCAGTCCAATGAAAAGTTACTTAGTTTTCTCAAAAGAGCATTTAAAGAAAAATCTTGAATTACACTGTTATCTGAAAAGATTCATTGTTTTTCCTTCTAGTGTTATTGCTAAGAACAAGCCCAAAAGAAATTACATTTAAGTTGCCTGGTGCAATGCAACCCCCCAGAAAACAGAAGGCTTCATTTTTTCTGGAAGTGCTGATGCTGGAAGGGAGCATAAGGACTGAATTTGGCAAATGTTTATTATTTGACTACTCAGTTCCTTTCTCTTCAGCTAAATCAGCAATTGTATCTGTGATTATATAATCATGGAAAATTAGCCATGAATTTCTGCTCTTCCTGCTATTTTGTTATTTGACAACTCCAGTAATTGCTGGGGAAGATAAAAAGCTGTGTGAAGTCTTTCCCCATCAACAGCACAATGACTCCCAACACATTCATTTGTGTTGTTTTTGCCTGTTTGTGCCATTAAAAGTATTGTTGCCAAGTCATACCTTGGTCTAGGGATGGCCTTATTGGTCAGTTAGGGTGAGTTAAAGAAAGGACAACTGATGTCAGCCAACCCTATTTACAGTACATATACAGTACTTAAAATGCAGAAACGTTTTTCCATTATACACATATATGCTCAAAGTTCTGTTTTAAAATATAATCTTTATTCAAGTTATTGAAAATCCCAGAGGTCTCACTGCATTAAAATGTCTATTATATTGATTTTATCACAGTGATAATTCTGATGCTAAATACTGATCCCAAATGGGGGAAGAAGAAAAAAACATTTTTACTTACCCATCTAGTAAGAATTATTTAATTGTATATGATTGCAGACAAACCAAAAAAGTTGTTTCTTAAAAATGAGTGCAATACACAGAACAATATTCTGAAAACTAAATCATTCAATGACAAAAAAAAAAAAGAAATAACAAGGAAAAGGGGTCATACAAAGGCCCCACCAAGAAAAGAGTTTATAGTGCAGATGAAGGTATTGAGTGCCACATGAGATGGCATCCAATGTGAATGCTGATATCTCTTTATCACAAAACATGTGCTCTGAAAATGCATGATATCTAAAAAATATATAGTTTAACAATATAGTCTATGCTTATGTCTTTGTATTATAGCATCTATACAGTACATACCTGAATAAAAGGGAAAAAGAGTCCTACTGCGAAGTTCGAGAGCCAGTTCACAGTTCCAGCAATCATAAAAGCAGCAGGTCGATAGGATTGTTCAAAGAGCTCTCCAGTGAGAATGAAGGGAATTCCACCTAAGAATCAGATCAAATGCAATGTCAATATACTCTACCACTCAAACAGCATTTATTCCTTTCTGGCAGGAAAACAATTTCTTGTGAAGGATATGTGAAGTAAGACTTTTCGAATCTTGATTATAAACGTGAGATCTGCTTTTCTAAAGATTAAGATTTAGTTGTTTTACTGAGTGAAATGGATTAGGGAAATGGTTTGAGTTTAAATAAAATCTGCACACAGCATGGCTGAAGGAAGGTTATTATTCTGTTTTCATATGTTAAAAAATGTCCCTCTTGCAAATAATGAATTGCTGTGTCTGTGACCTGATTCAAACTATATACAGTACCAGTGACTTTTTCATAAGGGGAAAATAATTTGTTTATGTGAAAACAACTTGCTTCTGGCTCTGTTTATAATTCAATGTGATATAGCATGCTATTCAGAATGAATGAAGTTGCTAGATGTTTTGCCATACTGTAGATTTATTTAAACAAAGATAGGAATAAAAACAAATTCAGAAATTATTTGTGTTCATCCTTTTTCAACTTCATCAATTGTAATCAGAGGTTCTAACGAACAGTGATTCAAAACCAATGATTTCATTCATGCAGCCCCCACCTGGATGATACAACAGCAGCCATAGTGTTCCAGAACGCTCACCTCACATCAGCCATCAGTGGGGAGAAGAGCAGAGTAATGAAGCCAATTCATAGATGGGGATTATTAGGAGGCCCTGGGATTTTTAATGACCACAGAGAGTCAGGACCTCAGTTTTATGTCCCATCTGTAGGATGGCACCTGTTTACAGTATAGTGTCCCCTTCACTATACTGGGGCATTAGGACACACACATGGACCACAGGGTGAGCTCCCCCTGCTGGCCCCACTAACATCTCTTCCAGCAGCAACCTTTTTACCAGGAAGTCTCCATCCAGGTACTGACCAGGCTCACACCTGCTTAGCTTCAGTGGGTTGCCAGTTGTGAGATATCAGAAGTTGCTAATGGAATATGTTTGTTTCCTGGGTTTTATTACCTAAATGAATAATGTAGCTCCTGATGACCTTCCAAACCAATTGCTTGTCCAATAGTTATAATTATGGTTTTCAGTTATTCAGTTATCAAGGCTGTGGATCAGAATGACTTTGTCACGATGAAAGCACTATAAATCTTTTCTTATTTCTGTACATTTTCAATTAAGGAAATAGTAGGTTAATTTTCCCTTTCAAGTTAAATATGTTTTGTGCTAGATGCTTTAGTAAAGAGAGTTTGACAATAAGTGACACATAGAAGTGAAATGTGAACCCTAGTATGCATGCATCAAATTAAAAAAATATTTAAAAAAATGCAATAAGTTGCTCAGTACCTTTTTTTACAGCCTGGTTTACTTAAATCAAATAGACAAACAAAGTAGATTGTACTGTATAGAAAATAATATGTATAGATAAAATAATAGAAGAATGTTTGGAGATTGTGTCACTCATGCAGGAAAACTAATGGTGATCTTTTATGGAAAAGGCTATGGCAGCACACATGGTAACCCTACTCCCAAAATACAACTTTAATCAGCCATTTTTTATTCACAGATGTTTCAAAGCAGTTCTAATATTCAGAATCCTTTGTCATGTGAAGGTTGATAAATTGGTTAACCTGTTTTTAATAGTTAAAAACATTAAAATGGTTAATACATTCACCTTACCCAACCACAAAAATACAACAAAAATGACCTAAAGCTTTTAATAATAGAAAAGGGAATCAGTTACTGAACCAAATCAAAATGGCCAAAGCATTTTATCTGAGGCATAAGGAAGAATTTTTAAAAAGTAGCTTTCAATTTCTGCATTCATACAGTATAAGTAGTTTGATTTATTTTCCTTCACACAGAATATCAATTTCTCTTTCCAACAGTAAGGTTCAACAATAAGGTTACAATGCAAGTTGACAGACTGCAACTTGCATTGTAAGGTGCAATCTTTTAAAAAGTAGATTTACTACAATACTGTTTTCATGCTGCTGTACTTTGTTGCAATCACACATTTTCTAAAAATTATGGTGTGGTAGTATTAAGTTATACCTCCCAGAAATGTATCAATTTTCTAACCATTTCAACTAATTCATGGTCTGGAGCAGCCAAAGCCTATCCTGGTAAGCAATGGGCACAAAGCCAAATACACCCTAAATGGGAACCAGTAGATCACAGGGCACAGACTAACACATATACACTCACACTTATAGCAGAGCCAGTTTTCACAGAAACCGATAAATGTACCGGTATGTTTGTGTTTGTGAGCTGTGGGTGGAAACTAAGGCAAACACTGGGAGTACATACAAACTCCACCCAGATTGTACCCCAGGTAAAAAACTGAGCCCAGGGCCCCCAAAATCACAGAATTGCTTATTTCTCTGACTGAGAGAAACTGATGACCTTACCATGAGGACAAGTACATTGGAGAGCTGCAATGTTTTAAATAGAATATGAATTAGTATACGAAGAGATACCGATCTGTGAAAATGACAGGAGTAATAACTGAACTCCAGAAGAGACACAATGGCTTTGACCGCCACCTACATTTGTTTAATCATAATAATGGGAATACGATTAAAGAAAAGTATATAGAAATGGCATCATTATAAATTCCAAGAAAACAAGTGTAGTGGCAATGCTTGTTAATAAGACAGAATTAAGTGTTGCGGTGCTTTCCCAAATGAGGCCTCATCTCTCTGTTCATCTCTGTGGTGCAGCCACAGAGAAACTATTCAAGCAGGATGATTTAAAGATGATTTAAAGCTGTCCCTTTTGATAAGGGACAGCTCCCATAGGGGGATGCACTTAGCTAAGCCTGGCTATCATGTTCAATGGTCATCCATTGGCGCCTATCTGTCTAGAGAGTGCCAGATGGACATCTGGACTGCATTCCTAAGTGTCAGGAGTAGGTGACTCATATCTCACCTTGATCAACCAATCAGGGACTGGTAGGGCCGAGTAACCCATGTGGGACTCTGATGCCCATGGAACTTTCAGCCAATGAATGAGCTGAAGTTCCTCCAGGTAAAAACAGGCAACACAGAGAGCCTGAAGGAGAATTCTGTGGACAATTCTAAAGGGAATTCAAAGGAGAATTCCAGGGCAGGACGGCCCAGGAGCAGAAGGCTCCCAAGGGCAGGACATTCTCGCAGCTCGCCTCCTGACCATCCTGAGACTCAGCCCGGACAACCACGGAACGGCCAGTGTTTCCGAGTGCAAGAACTTTCCTTTGTTTTAAGAGTCGAGAGCGGAGGTTGCCAGAGAGTAACCAGAGGATCTACCTGAGGTTAGCACCAGCAGCAAGCCTCGTGAACAGGTCAGAACTGTGGCCAGCTGAATCACTATTCAGAACTAGCTCTTCATCAGGAACGAACCGGTCCTCTTCCTGACTTGCTGGGACCCACAGTCATCTTTTCTCCTGTGCACAAACTGTGGTAGTTAAAGCCAACACTAACTAGCCGGTCAGTGAGCATCAGCAGTGAACCGTCGCAAGCCGCACAGCACAGCCTGTCACGCAGCCAGAGAGCGTGGATTGGACAGCAACAGCCTGCAACTGTTTTTTTGTGCCCGCAGGAGATCTGAATCCCCAGAGATTGGATGAGTATTCAACTTCACTGCATTACTGCTCGATAATTCAATTGTTATCCCAACCAGTTGATATCAATTTAATTCCTAAGAATTATGTACTTGTTTTGAGTATCTAATGTAGAAGTTGTGACCAAGTTCAATTACAAAACGGTCTAAATGAATGATATACTGAACATATGTCCTCTTGATATGTGTAACACTTCGTAACTGACTGAATATACAGTATACCATTTGTATTCTGATAACCCTCTCGATAAGATCTGTTAGGTTTATATGCATATTCTATGTATTAATAAATGTATCCTCGTGTATATAGTACCTGTGTGTGTGCGTTGTTTGAGTTATATCGCATGGTTGGATTCTAAGGCCATCAAAAGAATCACAAGTGAGAATGGAGAATTTGTGGTGTGATGATCTGAAATTTTGTTTTGAGTGAGGGTGACAGAGGGGTAACTGGAATACAACTTCTGAATGAGAAGTCTGTGTTAATACTGCGTTACTTCCAGCGATTGGCACTACGTAGAGCTGCCCAAAAAGACGTAATATAGGTCTTAGCTCACATCTCCTCATCCTTCCTCCTCTCTCACTACCTATGACTTTACAGCCTTTTTCAATGAGAGGGTAGCCACCATCCATTACCAGTTTACTCAGAAAAGACTACCCAACAACCTACAGATTGCCAATGAGGCAATCCTGTTCTCCTTTTTCCCTTCTCTGTGGCTAATGTCTGAGAACCTGTTCTCTTAAATCACCACACTACCCTTTATTTTGATCCTAGCTCCTCTCCCCTCCTCCAGTCTATGTCCCCTGACAGACTCCCATTCCTTTCTGCCATTCTCCATGCCACCTTTTCTGCAGGGAATTTCCCACATAACAGGCACACATCAGACCCCAACTTAATATATCCTCTTTAGATCCCTCTGTCCCTCACAACCACAGTAAAGACCTGCCTCTTCTAATCTTCCTGTCCAAAATGGTTGACCACTGCCAATTACATTATATCAAGTTTCTCTCCCTCCTTCTTCTAAATTTGTCTGCCCTCATCCTCAGTCTTCATCATCTATTATCCTTCTCTTCCTGCAAACTTGATCTATGAGGGAACACCTGCTTAAAATTAGACTTGAAACCTAAACAGGCACCATACTTCGTGATGATGATGAGACGTAAAACCGAGGTGCTGACTCTCTGTGGTCATTAAAAATCCCAGAGTGTTTCTCGAAAAGAGTAGGGGTGTTACCCCCGCATCCTGGTCAAATTTCTCATTGGCCCTTACCAATCATGGCCTCCTAATATTCCCCATCTATGAATTGGCTTCATTACTTTGCTGTCCTCCCCACTGATAGCTGATGTGTGGTGAGCATTCTGGTGCACTTTGGCTGCTGTCGCATCATCCAGGTGGATGCTGCA